TTCATATATACTTGTCCTAGTCGGGTCCGAATCGGATCCGACTGAGAAACGAGTAGCTGATGAAGGGGCGGCTGATACTTCCTCCGATCCGGCTCTGGGATTGGTCCGATACTTAGCGAGGCTGTAACATCGTTACAGTATTAATATTACGTATCCTTTTTTATCTATCTACTATATACTATATAAAATTAAATATCTTAAAAGAATAATTACCTCTACTCTAATCTACTATACTCAAGTATTTAAAAATATAACTTTATAGTTAAAGTATAATATATTAATAATATTATAAAGAGGATTTTAATAAGTATAAATATAAAGTATAATAACTAAAAAATAGCTATAATAAGATAGTAGCACTATAAACTATAATAATAAAAGAACTTAAGCTAGGTTACTAGGGGTTTAGATTAAAGTTAGATTAGAGTAATAATGATATAAGACCCGACATAATCTAAACTCTAACTCTTAGTAACCTAACCTGTAACGGCTGAGTCCTCTACACGACCAATATCCGAACAGGATCCGAACTAGGTCTGATTAGGTCTAGTGGAAACTACGAGGATAAAACTACCTCGCGATTGATAGTTTATTCGGGAGTTTTTCGATATCCTTTCGTACAAGGCCTATAGGTGTTCAATCGGATTCTTAGATTTCTTGTGTCCCACGCACTCCCATATGCCTCTGAGTGACCTCACGTCCGAAACGAATCCGATTCTTCTTGCCTGTGCCGTTACATAACCCTAATATAACCTCTACTTATTTACCAGCCTAATCTCTACCTCTACTCTACTACTAAGTAGAGGCTATCTATTTACTAGCGTAAATAAGAGTAATTCTAACTAAGTAATACTTAGTATAATTATAGTAGCATTATAGGCACCCCTAAAAGTAACTACTTTTAATAGCTACCTCCGTATTGAAGTTATAATACAATACAAGAGTTACCTTCTTAGCTACTACCTAGTAACGCACTTCTACTTAGTAACTATCGTTTATAGCACGCTGTCTCTCATCCGCGAAAACTAACACTTTGAGTTCTTAATACAGAAGGGGTAATATTACCTCTACGAGACATACGCTCAATAACCAGTCACGTTAAGGTAATTATCATCGTTTTGATGGGCACTTTCGGAACACAGGGATTGTTATTGAAGTTGTGTTACAGCCGTTGGGCTCGAATATAGTCAATAGCCTTAAGAAATGAAAGACCCTATTTCTCTCTAACCCTTGATCTAACTACTTCTCTATACGTATTCCCGTAAGCGTCATGCCAGGGGCATCGTTAGGCGGATAGATTTCAGAAGTTGTTTTACCAGCGGGGATATTGAAAAAGGCCGGAATGGTTCCAACTGATCCAAAGCTGCAAAGAACGCTGTACTTCCTGCCTTGAGAACACGACAATTTAATGATCTTCCCGACCTTCATGATAGTTACCGTGACACCCGCAATCACAAAAGAAGTGCCTGTGCTAGCAAGACAACTAAAAACTATAGGCACAGCGGTAACACTATAGAGTTAGCCTAGAATTTCGATAGTCTAAAAAGTACATACTCGCGGCGAAACAAATCATCGGAGTGTCGTTTAGTGGTACCGTTATATTGGTCAAAACTGCATAAATTAGAACGTAATCTCAACTTAATAGAGAGATACTGTACGCTAGACGGTCAGACTCAGTGAAATGCGCCTTTCTAATTTCTTCGGTAGCGTTTTAATATCTATATATATTAGACAATACCTTGAATAGGATAGTGAACGTACGCAAGACGAAGTAGCTCATTGAAAGGGACGATGGGAAGATCATCTGTATTTCTGGTATCAATGTTAGCAGCTAAGTTTTGAATAGATCGGATACACTTACGCTACTCCATTGGCGGACACGACGCTCATAAGAAGAATAAGATTGATGAGTTTCATTTTTTGAGCTTGCTAGTAGGCTCAGTTGATTTTGATGAAAATATATTAAACTCCCGGTTCGTGTTGATAAAGTAGACGAGAGCTTTATCCTCAACTTATATGTATATGCCAAGACTTGAAATTCTGTTAACAAAATGATAATTATAGTCACTACCATAATGATTCTCCGAACTAGAACCGAAAGTTCCTCACGTTACAAGCAATTGACACTCTAGATCACGTATTATGAATGAGGTTTATTGAGTTATATTCTTAGTCTAGAGAAAAATGGGGTTATGAGTAAGACAGCGGTGATAGGAGATTACACTATACTTATAGTAGGCCAGGATAGTCTGGTAAATGAGCTCCTGACTCTACCTGGTAGGACACAGTCCGGTTTGAATCAATCCTGACGATCGCAGGATACTTCTATCTACCTTAACTCTACTTAGTTTACAATATACGAGCTTAATATCAGTATATCTGAAACTATATATATACAGCTAGTATTTTGCAAAGTTGAAGCGCCTTATTACTCTGATAAACCTGTTTCGTTATCGTTTAGAAGACAAGTAAATCCAGACATTATAGTCATGAACCTTGAAAGTTGAGACCAAGACTAAGACACGTAATCTAGACCGGGCAAAGGTTAGAGTACACCCCTATAAGAATTATTTAGCACCCCAATGAGCAGGATACCCCTACTTAGTAGTTACTTATGCAAAAGTTATATTAGCAAAGTAAGAAAAATGAGAAAAAAGCGAGGATACATGTTTCTCTACTTCTTCTTCTACCTCTTCTTCTATCTCTTCTTCTACTTCTCTTCTTTCACCTCTATTCTTCCAAAGGAGAAGTAGAGGAAGAGGGAGAAGAGGGAGAAGAGGTAAAGAAAGAGGTAAAAAGAGAGGCAAAAAGGAGAGAAAGAGACCGATATTATAGTATAAGATAGAATAATATAGATAGCGTTACAATAATGCAGACCCCTGTTTTACGGGGATGCCAAATCATTCTTATGGGGGTGCACTGTAACCGCCGCCTCTAGAACGAGATGTTTGCATAGATATGAGCTGATGTCTGACAACTCGATTCTACCTGCTAAGCCTCTTCTTCGACCTTTAGGGCCGTTTTTTTGTGAAACAAGAATTGCCAAGCCAACTCAATTAAGTAAGTTCCTAGCATACAATACAAATTATTACCTTTTATGCCTGGAAAGAGGTCAGCGTTGAGAGTTGATTGGCCCCTGCACGCTGGCTGGTATTATTTAGCGCAATATCACCCTTGACTAAGTCAGCCTTGAGTCTTACCCAGGTCCTACCTATTTTCCGACCAATTTTCACCCCAGCGAAATCTAACTCCAACAGCTACCTTTCTCTTTGTCTGCCCAATCTCTATATAGTTGAGGTATCCTACCACTTGTTACTTACTATCATTCCCTAAAACGCTTTCATCATCATCTACGCTATTTCTCAGGCAATATGAAGGTTACTATCTATGTTTTGTTCTTGTATGAGTTTTCTCCCCTATACTTAGGGGAACAGGATTAACAACTTCAATAGTATAGCCAAGTAAGTTCTAGCTGGTGGGCGTACTTACGACTTTTGCAAATGCATGAAATATCCTGAAACTTCAACATCGGAATGGTGTGCTACAGCTATCGTATGCGCAGATGTTGGGAGTAAATACAGAGCTATTGGTACGTTTGATCTTTTAGCTGTATATTAGATTATCTAACATTTTTTAGACAATGGCGGCTGGGTAACGATATCTACAATACTTCACGTAGCTTCTGTCTAACTGAAATATAGTGCACTGGGGAAAATGGGGTATTGATTTATGGTCCAGAGTTCTACCAGGCCTGCCGGGATGCCCAGCCTAAAAATCCTGAAGCTGATAGCTGCTGTTGGGGTAGGAAGTTTGGATGGTCCGATGGCTGTTTTAAGTAGTTGCCAAACACAATACTCGGGCCTAATTAGCATAGTAAATAGATATTTAGAAAGTCGGCGGTTTGGCACTCTCGAAACCTTCTTTAATGGTTAATTTCATTAAAGAATCAGCAACCCATTATAAGACCTTTTGTTATAAATGTTACTTTACCATTATCATACATTCAAAAGTCAATTATATGTAGTATGTTATTAGAGAGTTTTTTTCTTATATAACAACAAATCCTAGGGTCTCCTGGATTGGACGAGTGGATGCTGTGCTAGATTCTCTCCCAGGACAGTGCCTAATAGTTCTATTCCTACTGTGCACTATAGCCACACTACTTTTTGGACTGTATCGGAGTGCAGTCGTGAGAACTTGTGGGTGTATCGCGTGATTTGGCTGCAAGCTAGCTACGATCGAGCTCCGCCCGTCCACCTTGCCCGTGACTCCACACATGAGAGATTGCCACTGTAGCACTCGTTGTTAGGCGATGGGTCACTTTTTTCAGGCTGCTTTGGATGAATTTCCACAGCACGAGCACCGCTGGTTCGCTTATAATTGACTTCGTTCCAAAACTTCTTCGTACAGGTGCCTGGACAGTGTGGCGCGTGCAGCAACTGGTCTAGGGTTTTCCATGCCTTCGGATCTATTGCAAGTCAAAGGCGAGTTCCCTTCGCACTGTCGCGTAGGCTCAGTTGAATCCCCAGAGAAAATGCAGCGAGGAATTCGCTGTCCGAAAGTGTCCTTATACCTCAGCTGAAACTGACGGAAGTCTTGTGCGACCGAGCCAATGTCCTCTCTAAGAAGTCGAAAAGCCCTTTGAGCACATGTAAGGTTGTATTAGTGACATGGTCACGTCCCCATTATTCGCTGCTGCTTCGCTCGATCTCTGCATCGTCCGTTGTAACAAAGAAGTGTTGCTGATGGCAAACATACCATCACGTTGGGAACTTATGGTATTGAAGGAGTCATTCCTCACAGCCCGTAAGTATAGCATTATGGACCGTTGCCAAGCAGACCACAAAAAGATGCGAAGCAGACATATATTCGTGGCGTATGTTGTACTAGGTCTCCCCCAGTCCGGAGACAGTTTCGTAGAGCCTGCGAACAAGTCGCCGCACAGGTTGACAAGTTTTGCCATCTGTACGCGAGGCGTAATTCGAATCGAATCGTGTGGCTGTCAATGTATCGAGTTGTCGTGAGTCGGCGATTTGCGCTCGACAACAGCACCCCAGAATCCCCTGGCAAGTAGTCTTCGTGTCCATGGAATCCATCAAGCAGCAAAGGCGCTGCAGTTACTGGCGGCCTTCTCAGCAGATGACAAGCATGCCAAACCACAAGGTGCGGGTGGCCTTTCAACTCAAAATTCGTAGTCAGCAGCCTGGCAAAGGGCACATCGCACCCCTCCAGTCGCTTGGAGAGAACGACCGAATGTCCCATCCGCTCAAGGAAGCTCTTGCAGAGATCCACAGTGCGCTCATCCGGTTGTTAGAGATTGAGCTTCACGGAATTTGAGGTTGCGCCACTATGCAAGTCTGTCCAGTTCAGCTTCTTGACGTATTCCATGACCGTGGGGTCGAACTCATTCGCGATAGTACGCCCGTTCTGAGACGGTCAGCGCCATGAGCTCTGATCCAGGATCTTAAAACACTCTTGCTTTGGTGACTGCGTAATTGTCTTGTGACATTGCAAAGACATTCTGTGACTTGGGTGCACGGATCAGAAAGTGAAAGTAAGATGGAGTCGGGCGAAAGGAGATACACGCTAGTTCAATATAAACAAGCCTAGCGTGGACACAATACTGGAATCCGTAGATATAGAAGTGACCTGGTCCAGTCGATACATTTCTCAAAGGGTAGCGAATGAAAGTTCTCGCGCACACTGATCGATTTCACATCTTCTAAGACAACGTAAACTGTCTTCTTCACGAAACAGAGCTTTCTGTCCTCTAATTCAGGGCTAACAGATGAAACAACAGCAACAGGGTAGAATGGATGATCACATGTCGAGCATGGTAAGTATCCGCATGAGCGAAGTACCTAAGACATTTGTATGCCAACCCTTACCACCTCATTCAACCCTTTCCCTGTCTTGAAAGCCTTGCAGCACCAACAACTAGAATAGTTCACTCGCTAGCTTTCTATAGCCTTTAAGATAGAGTGTGAAAGGGTAAAGAATGTCGGAGGATTATCAATTGTGAACAGGCAGTCAAAGATGCATCAAGTTATTAATGAGATGGAAAAGAGCTAGGAGAATAAACAGTTTTTGAAGCTCTTTTAGAAACAACGTAATTATGTGAAGGTTTTGAAAACACACATTGTGTTATTGTTCTGACTAGTTAAACTAGAAAGTTTACATTAATCACATTGGAAGGTAACCTACGGTGCAGCGAGACGCAAATAACAGGTGTTTCTTAGAAGAGACACGGTATCGCTAACCTTCTGTCTTACGCTTTTCTTGATTGTCGTTCTTTGGACTCGGCCACACATCGATATCGAGTACTACAGAGGTGTCGTATTCCATATTGTTCACAGCAATGAATAAAGGCATCATAGTGGAGACCGATAGTGTCTGCCATGGACACTCGAACACTGTCCCGACGCCTTGTAGAATCCTTGGGACATAATAACTCTGTTATGCAGAAGCGCCAAGCTAGTGAATAACTGTCAAGGAGAAGATGAGCATTATCCCACTTGACCGGGGCGCGAGATTACTAGCGAGTCAAAAGATACGCACAATAAACTTTTGGTGCTGATCAAATCAACGTTCTAGAGCGAGCCATGCAAGAGAAGGAAAACGGATCAAGACGAAGAAGAAAAGGATGATGCATGACGTTGGAGGAAAAAAAATGATAAATGAATAGGTTGTATATTAGGCGATTCACGAAATGGAGACGAGATTCTAGACGGATCAGTATGCAAAACTGACGCACCTGACAAAGGAGAATAGGATAAGAATGAAACCGGTGCATGTCCCGAAGCCATGGGATCATCGCTCCATACTTACCGCCCTTAACCAACCCCGGAGAGAAAAAAAGAGATCCTTATGCCGCATGAGCAGCTCTCTGCGAAGGATTTCGACTGCGAACCTCGCTCTGCTTCACTTCCAGGTGGGTCCCGCTCTTATTCTTCTGAAACTGAAGCGACTTGGGAGACGCTACATTGACATAATCTTCAGTGTCCTTTTCAATGACCCCAGGGGTAGAGACATGAATACCCTCAATCAAGACCTTTTCGTTTTCAGATATCTCAACAGGAGTGGCGCTAACCTTGGGCTGTACCTTCCTCGTACCAATAGGAGGGTCGAAGCGCTTGCGTAGTGTCTCGATCATTTTGCTGAACCAGAACCAGTTGAGGCCGTTGAGGATAAGGTTGGAGGCTAGGTAAGCGGAGATAAGCCAGAGCGGAGTAGTTTGTCCGGCGGAGTATTGAAGAAGGTCATTCTTGAAGCCTGCATTGTTGACATAAGTGTCGTCTGACAGTTTGCCAACCTCCGGATCGGGTTGTGGGACGTAGCCATTCATGTATAGGTGGTAGACATCGCCGAAGACGCGGATCGACTGGTAGGTGCCCCAGACAAGACGGCAGGAGAAGAAGGTGAAGAGTAGCATCAGGCCGTTGACGAACTGGAGGGTGCTACCAGTCATGTTGAGCTTGTCGCAAAACCAGTGGATGTTGAGGAAGGGCGAGGAGAGTTCGTAGAGGATAAAGGTGCAGGTATAGTAGTTTACGAATGGGCGCTGTGCAAGCGATGAGCAGTCTGTTTTCCGATGTGTGGGTCAAGTACTTACGAAGCCTAGTGAGAAGACGCAGAGGGCGGAAATGGCATGGAACAGCATGCCGATTCCAAAAATCTTGACATTCTGGACAGTGATGACCAAGTCCCATAGGAAGTATCCTCCGGCGAATGCCTGGATCAAGCCAGATGCACCCGTGTATCCATGCACACGTTCTGCCCTGTCCATGCTATTCAACTCCTTGTCTGTCCACATGACCCATAGGGCCAGGGCGCAGATAAGGGTGCTCTGGACAAACGACACAATGTGGACATCCCAGTTTAGCTTTGTGCGAGCGTTGAAGGTGGCATATACGCGGGGGAAAAAGATGCGGGAAAAGGCGGGCGCAACGAAGCGGTAGGTGACGTCGTACAGGACATAGGCAGCAGCAATCTCGTGGAAGTGCAGGGGCAGCGTGTTGAGGGATAGGTAGTCAGCCACGGGTTGGACATATTTGACAAGACTCTCAGGCCGCGCGATGGGGAATGGATCGTGCATGATGGTAGAGAGATGGCGGCGGTGGTGGAGGAGGTGAAGCGTGGGGCGGGCTAGACGGAGGAGTGAGTGATGTAAGGGCGCCTGGGGGCGCACACAGGGTAGGAGCAATGGGGCCAAGAGACTTGAGGAAACAGCGGCGGGTGTGGGGTACGATGCAGTTTTTATACCGTCAGTCAGAATGGATGGCTTCACAGGGATGCAACAATGGTCTTGTCTTGAGGATGCGTGTCAGAGGTTGCGAATGACGACTGCGCAAGGCACAGCGCCCTGGTTCCAAGGACCTACTAGCAGCTAGGCCGAGGTGCGATTAGCGAGCCGCCCGAGGCTGAGGGCTGCTCACGCCGGACCAAAAAGCACACGACACACGGCATCCATGTGTGCAACATGTGTTGACGGTGACTTTGGAGTAGTACGAAGCGTAGCCATGGCCACGGGGCCGTGTCATTCCAACCCATGTTCTGTATTAGTTCTGTACATAAGTGGTGCACGGCCACATGAGGCGCAATACATGTGCGCATGCCTCCGCATACGTACCAGCAGCCAGGGTCGCCAAGGGAGCACCCGAGCATACTTATTAGTCTACCCAGGGCCTATTAAACGAGCGCGTTTACAACGCAGCCTATAAGTATCCAAGCCGGAGGCGTTGTAGAGCTTGTTCAAGCCTGCTTGTACGCTACCCGCAATCTAGTGCTCTACTCATCCCAGCCATTATCCCGCTGTAAGGTAAGACGCGCAATCAGCTGACGCCGTGCATCCTCGTGTGCCTAAGTAGTCCACGTGCGGACGCATACAGCATCCCATCCGACAGAGAATGAGTCAAGCGTGTGACTTGTTTATTGCAGATGCCGTCTGGAGTAGATAGATATGTTGAGCACGATCCTCACACATCGTTCCTTTGCCTGTTGAATCACCTGACCATGGCCGACCTCCAACCGGATGAGTCCGACCATTCGGGTAGCCTCAAACCCCCGACCGTGTCTCCGACTCTGCACGGGAAACAATGTCGAAACTAAAAAAAAAAGTCCGAAATAGGCCAAGTCTGAAAGGTTGGAAGGTGAAGGGAGTTTGGACCTCACAAAGGATGGCTGGTCCTAGCCCACTGTGTATTTTAACAAACACTTCTCTTCTCTCGCACTACTAGCTATAATCAGCAAAAACAAATCCATCATCTACCGGTTTGTAAGCCTAGAGCGTCTCCGCTGCGACCACCCTTTCCCCCTCTCCTTCCTCTACTAATAAAATCGCTCTCCTAGCTATCTAGCAAGCCAAAAAATCCCATAAACCTACTGATGTCTAAATCCACACATCTAATCACTGGAGTAGTAATCAAGTATCAGTACCCTTACCCAAGTCCATCATCCACATATTTCAAAATGCGTCAGGGAAGAGAAGGAATACAAAATAATCTGCAACTGAAGGAAGAAGCGCAAAAGCCATTAATTCTTCTACTACCATTACCATTACTATGATATTCAGCGACATAAGACACGGTGGAAATTGCTCTAGTCCCGAGTTCTCGAGCGCAAACTTCCGAGCTTCCGGACCACGACGCTAACCCGAATTGGCTATATCCGGTGTCAAGTTGACGTGCAGATACTTTGATGGGCGTTTAGGTCAATAGTGGATGGTACGAAGAACATGCAAATGATACCAGACACTGCTGTTTTCTTTTCAAAGATGTGTTCCTATCCATGAACTTATCTTGGAATATTAGTAGTATAACTAGCCGATTCGACGCGATTGCGCACCCCAAGAAAGAATTGTATGCACTAAACACAAACACTATCATTTGTTTCGTGGCCCAAGATAGAGAGAGGGGTGAGTGCTCTATCCCGGGCCTTACTCATCACCGCTGGCGGTGAAAATTCCCTATCGTAATCCCTGAAAGGTCGACGAGGGAGAAATCGAGGAGCTGATACGAACGGGCGTCGGCCGGTGAGCACGGAAGGCGCAGGTTCGTGAAGCTCAGTATGCATGCAAGAAAAATTATATTTACACATAGCTGTGGTTTTTAAAGTACCTCGTGTCTGTTATTCAGATCCATGGAATTTTTTTTCAATCAGGTTGTGAAGCGTTGCACAAGACAACGTTTGCCCGATCCTATACCTGTGTGCAAGCCAACGGACACAACCATTACCTCCGGTTGTGCGGGTCCGGCGTCGGATTGTTCGAACGGCCCGGGACGCTTTTCTCCATTCCGGAATTATACAAGTTTTGGTTTTGAATCTCTTGTTCAGACTTCCGAGAAGTGTGGGACTGATTGATGGTCCGCGATTGGTTTATTACAGAAATGGGTTGGGTCAAAGCAAAACATATATCAACACTGCACAAGATAGCCAATACAAGTCAAACTACTCTGTTGCATATTCCAGGTATCATCATCATCAGTTATCTACAACACTTCCTGTTTAAGCCTCCTACACACACGTAACGGCTCGAGTGGGCTTTCGAAACAACCAATACGACCTTTTGCCATCATGTCAGCCCCGATCAACTTGAAGGATCTCACCACCGAAAACATCACCGAGAATGTGCACGCCATCAATTCCCAATGCGCCAGTCCCCGCTTGAAATATATCCTCGAGCGAGCTGTAACACACCTGCACGAACTAGCGAGGGAGGTCAGGCTCACCACCGATGAGTGGATGACAGCCATCCTCTTCTTAACCAGCGTTGGACAAATCTCCTCAGAAACTAGACAGGTAACGTGCAAACCCCAATTTCTAGCATTGACCTTTTGAATGATGGCTGATTGAGCCTAAGGAATTCATCTTACTATCAGATATATTAGGTCTTTCCCTCCTCGTAGACTCGATTGACCATCCCAAACCGAAAGGAAGCACCGAAGGCACCGTACTTGGCCCCTTCCACACACACGAAGCCGAAAATAGGGGCCAGGGTAGTCTCATATCGCACGATCCAGATGGGGAGCCGCTGCTTGTTCTATGTACGCTGAAAGATGTGAACGGTAACCCCATTTCGGGAGCGCAGATTGATGTGTGGGAGACGGATTCAAAAGGCTTCTACGATGTTCAACACGCAGATAGGACGGGTCCAGATGGCAGGGCTGTGCTAACGAGTGATGAGGACGGTAACTTTTGGTTCAAAGCTATCGTTCCTGTCCCTTATCCAATTCCACACGACGGGCCTGTTGGCAAACTTTTGAAATTGTTGAATCGCCATCCGTACCGACCGAGCCATATACATTTCATGTTCAAAAAGGATGGATACGATCCCCTCATAACGTAGGTTAAAGCCCCTCGGCCGCGGGCTTTGGTTTTAACTAACAAACGTGGAAAGTGCGCTGTACTTGAAGAACGATCCGTACGAATCGACGGACGCAGTGTTTGGTGTCAAGGACTCATTGGTGGTTCCGCTACAGAGAGTTGTGAATAAAAGTCAAGCCAAGACTTACGAGGTGGAGTTGGGATCTGCGCTCATCTCCTATGACTTCGTTTTAGTCACCGATGAAGCTGCAGTAGAGTTACGCAGGCAGAAGGCAAAAGAGGCCATGGCTGTCCTGAGTGGCAAATTCAGGTTCATCGACAATCTACCGGTTCCAGATGTGGATTAGGCACTAGGCTGGAGTATTGGATAACCACCTGATGTATCGTTGTCGAGATCGTTGAATAGGAATGCAGAAGTACTTATATCCGCCGAGTCGTTCAACCCTGTTGTAAAATCCTGTAGTAAACAAGGGTCTATAAGTGATGCGAATAGTGTTTCAGGGTCCGTGACATGCCCATTTGCAGCGAAGCTTGTCTCAGGGAAACAATAATTAAAGTTTTGTCCTAAGTCATTGAAGTTGCTTCGACCTTGGGGTTCACCATCGACCTGGTCCGTATGGCCATGAGGAAGTGGAACAGAGATAGCTGCATCGCGCTGGCTCATTGACCGAGCAATTTCCAACCCTTCTCGTAGTAATTCCGCACTCCGGAGAGCCACTGGAGCTTCCTGCATCGACTGTAGGATATTCTGAGCTTTGATAACATCCTCCAAGAGGTCCTCACTTCGCAATGCAGTGGCTCGGAGCATGACGACATAAAGAACGATCATGCCGGCGTACAGAGTATACGTTGAATTGTACCACCACGTGCGAAAGTAGTGACGATGAGTGTACGCATCATGAAGAAGCCGAATTGTCTCTCTTGCGGCGTTCAGACAGAGTCCAACATGATTGGACATCTCCGATGCGTTATAGTTCATGGACGGAATCAAGAATATTCGATGTACTAGTATCCTCGCATTCAGGTACCTCAATTGCAAAACAACTCCTTGTTTTCCTGCCCACTCTTCATCTCGGAAAGAGAGTTTGCCAAAGTCAAGCCACTCGGGCAGATTGGCTTTCCAATCGCTAAGAAGGCCATCAAGCTCCTTTGCGATTGCTGACTTTTCCGTTAATGTGAGGCCCTTGGTGTCATGATATAGCTCTTTACATATCCGGCGGAGGATAGCGGCATAGCGTACCATTTCATTTATCATGACAACGCTTTTGTGCTCAGCCTCTGAGGTATCAGGATCGTCATCAATTCTGTTCTCGATAATAGGCAGCGGGGTTTGATAACTGTGCGGTTTCCTGAGACTGTCCCTTCTTCCTGAGCTGCAGCTCATGTCGATTTCATGAGAATATATGCACCACCAAGTACGCCGCGCAGCTTTTCGGTCCTTTGTCGACCTTGACATGGATTCGTTTGCAAGGCCAATCGCGAGAGCGGTACGGACAGCCTGGCCGCAGTACATGTAGCATTGGTGCGGCATGTGGGAGTTTTGACAGTAGAGGGACTGCGCGATCATTAGCAAGTGGCATTGCAGGCAAGATGAGGGCTTTCAACCATTAAAAGGAGCGTTTGCGCACTTTCCAAGGAACACACTGCATATGCATCTCCCAACTGATTCTTGGACTGTCGGAAATACATACGGGAGATTGACTGTGAAGAAATCTGTCCTTCAGGCTCTGCCAATCCCGCTATATATGTCTGCATGTCCTGCCCCAGATCCTTGAGAACGCTTCTACCAGCGATAAGGGCGCCCACAGCCACGATGATGTTATAAAGGGCAGAGAAGTGTTTGTAACTTTTGGTTATTCCAGTGGTAGTATGCCGGGCCCACATTTCCCTCCCGCATCGTTCTTCAAACTGAACTGGATCAAGCAGGGGATGGACATAGTGTAAATTTTGGAAGAAGATACTGATATACATCTTTTCCAAACATCTTTTCAAAGTCTGAGTAGATGCCGACATTTGATCCTGGACGTCGTGAACTGTAGTGCGGCGTGGAGAACTGATCGCATCGACGATATGCTCAGGTCGGGCACTTTGACGCGCGGCCGGCAGGCCCTCGCGCCGCGTTGAACCCAAACGTTCATCCACCGTACAGCTATAATTTGGCACCGCATCACTTAACTCGACATGTCGGTCACTTGCGACGTGTGGAGGCGTCTTTGGTCTTGACGGTGGTGAGGGCACCTCTTCGTTTGACAAGATATTGATGATAGAAACTCGATCTTGAGGCAAGGCTCCCAGGTCGGGTTGAGCATTTTGCATGTTGGTAACTGGTAGGCGATTTTCACTGCGAGTATGTGACCCGTTGTGGCTATAGTTGCTGGTAGGGAAAAGTTGTGTGGCCAATTCATGAACATCAGTGCGCACGTAGCCGGAGAGACCATGTTGTCTAGCGAATGAAAAGAGCTGGTTGAGAAGCACAAAGTTAGACGATGTGCCATAGAATTCAGTGCCCTGAGTGCGATGATTGATATCGCCTACTACATCTAAAGTGTTTGCTGATAAGGCCCGAGGTACAAAGTCTAATGTCTAAGGTCAGTGATATTGATGCCGCGGGAAACTGGGAAACGCAAGAATCACGTACCAGGTAGTGCTGTATCATGAGGAAGCTCCTGCAACTCGCCTTCATTCGGCGCAATTTGACTCCTGGCAGTAAATCCGGAAGACAGGGAAGTACCTGGCGTTTCATTGGCGCTTCTATGATCTTGCTTCTTTTTCTGACGACTGCGCCTTTTGATGCCGTATTCACAGTGGGCAGCATGCTTAACGCAATTCAGGCACGGCTGTTGCTGATCGCATTTGGCCTTCTTTGCGCGACACCGTTGACAGGCATGGCTCACTCGTGGACAATTACGAGATCCTTTGGCCGTTAGATCCGCAACAGGGAATACATTCCGTTCCGGTTGTACCGTGTTGCTTGTCTCGGATGAAGATTGCATTTGAAACATCCGAGGGTGTGCGAGTTGCTGGCGGAAGATTTGAAGTTGGGGGCAGAACTGGCGATATGCCATTTATTTGGTAGTTCATGATCCGGGATACCCACTTCTCCACCTATATATGACATATGCGGCCAATAGGAAGGCCAGAAGATATCCGCTAACAACTCGACCGGAAGTCGGACATCAGCGAAAATCCGGCGCTAAGTCCATGTTTAGTGACGAGAGCATTCTGTAAAGCCCTTTGTCAACGTGCAATATCTCTACCAGAAAACTATTAAAAGTCCCAGCATGCCTTCGGTCAAAGTACCAATGAATCCACGAATCATTCAACAATCGTTCCAGAAGTCTTTACGACATGCCGGTGTTCCAAGAGACGTCTAATGCAGCAAGGGAGCTCAGGATCCTTCCTTCTCGTGCCCTGCCCCTACCAAGACTCTCAGCCAAACCGGAACCCTTGTCGAGCGCAGAAGAGAGTCGCGAAGTTGTTGTCATCGGCGTAAGTATGGAGACGGGCGTCAAAAAGAATGTAATGACTGACACTTTCGCGATAAGGCTGGGCCAAGTGGTCTTTTCTTAACCTTGTTGCTAGCCCGATATGGGCTTACTGGGTCCTCACTACTTTGTTTGGACTCAAAACCCGGAACATTAAAGGCTGGTCAAGCAGATGGCCTACAGCCTCGAACATTAGAGGTCCTCCAGTCCCTTGGTATAGCCGCGGAGATTATCGATGAAGGCTGTCATATGGAAGAGGTCGCCTTTTGGAATGCAATATCTGCGAGTTCGCAGGAGAGTCCTAATGGTGCCAAGAGAGGCATTGAACGCTCTCAATTTGTACCTGACGTGAGTGTGCCTGCTCGCTTCCCTTTCGAGGTCACGATCCACCAGGGCCGTATCGAGCGGATACTCGAAGAAAATCTCCATTTGTATGCGCCTAAGGACACGATTCGGAGATCTCATCGTTTCCTCAAGTACATTGTGGAAGATCCCAATTCCGAGTTTCCAATTCTTGTGAATTATGAATACGACGATATTGATGGCAGCACAAAGCAAGGATCCGTTCGCACGAAATATCTTGTTGGCGCAGATGGTGCAAGATCGCAAGTACGAGCGTGCATGGGGCTGAGCCTACAAGGCGAGACAACGGATCATATATGGGGAGTCTGTGACTTTGTTGCGACTACAGACTTTCCTGATATCCGCAAGCGGTGTGCTGTGCATTCCGATTCAGGGTCAGTCATGGTTATCCCCAGGGAGCAGATTGCCACCGGCGAGTATCTTACCCGCCTGTATGTACAAGTCCCTGGGGAGGTAAACAAGGATGAAGATCCTCGAACAGATAAGAAGTCAGCCGACAAAAGGAAACGTGAAGCTGTAACACTGGACTACATCTTCCAGCAGGCACGCAAAGTGTTTTCTCCCTACAGCATTAATATCAAAGAAGGGACCACACCAGACTGGTGGGCCGCGTACCAGATAGGCCAACGAATAACGCCGAAGTTCTCTGCGAGAACTCCCGACGGTATTGACAGAGTGTTTATTGTTGGCGATGGTAAGCTCAGGCCTGAACTTTTCACTGGACGGACACACTAACAGTAGCAGCGTGCCATACACATAGCCCAAAAGCTGGACAAGGCATGAACGTTTCTATGATGGACTCTTACAATCTTTCGTGGAAACTCGCTCACAGCATCCACGGATTGACACCGCATATTTCACCAGGAGTGGCGGACCCAATACTAGAGACCTTTGAGTCGGAGCGCATCGAGATTGCCCGCCAACTTATCGAATTTGACACAACCTTCTCTCACATCTTCTCTGGTAAGCTTGGTGCAGCGGATTCTGCAGTTTCAGGTCTTACGCATGAAGAATTCCTCCGTGTCTTTACGGAAAATAGTGGGTTTACAAGCGGATGCGGTCTTCAGTATCAATCGAGCATATTGATTCGGACGCCAGTCAACCCTCAATGCATTACAAACGGTCGATTCGGTGGTGCATTAATTCCAGGGAAACGTTTGCTCAATGTCGAGGTGAAACGTTACGCGGATGCGACTAGGCGTCAATTACATGACGGTACGCATTCACCAACTTACGGTACCAACAACTGGCAGTTCAGCTAATGTGGATCAAAGAAATGCCTTCATTAGGCCGATACCGTGTTATCATACTTGCAAGCAAGGATCTTCTTGACAAATCCGGTGTCTCTCAATCAGCCTTAGTGTTATGCAGTGAGATCATTGAACAGTTTCCTGCAGGCACGATCGATCTTGTCGTTCTTCACCCTTTAAAGGAGCGATTCGAATGGACTGACATTCCCCCAATTGTGAAGCAGCTTGCTGAGATGCGGACATATGGGTTGTCGCCGAAAGAAGATGCTTATGAGATACTTGGTGTATCAAAAGATGAAGGACTTATTGCCATAGTGAGACCTGATGGGTACATTGGGACGCTAGTTCCTTTGTCTGTCACTAATGAGGCGGAGGAATATCTTCGGTCCTGTCTTGTCTATAGATAAAATGTCTTTGATTTCTTGAATAATATATTGGCATGCAAAACAAGGGACGCGGTGTAAGTCGAATCTTACTTTTGGTACCCAAGTAGCAGGTCGCGTCCCCTTAAACTCCTTCGCGTTCCTAACATTAATCGAAACCAGCACCCAAGATTTTGCCAGGGCACCATGGAGAAAGACATGATTTGGCGCCTCACGCACATCCTTCCTATCGACCTCCCCATCTCCCTTCACCAAACTGACCTCCATCCACCTCGTCACCAGCACAGCACTAAACTCCCCAACCTCCCTTGAGGCAAAACCACAGCATCAGCAGGATGCCCAAATAGAATTGTAAAAACATCCCCGCCTGTTTCTCTCTTCAATATGTACTCCGCTGCCAGCGACACCACATCCACCAGCTCACCCCATCTCAATATCAACCTGCTCGTTAACCGATCTCCCAATACCCTTCACCTCCTCACCAAACTCCTTGACTCCCGGCACATAAGACCTACTACGCGCTTGCAACCCCGCCACCATCTCACCACTCACACCCCTCTTCGTCGCCACTCTCATTTCCTATGCTTGGGTCTAGATTCGAGCCGAGGGGCCACTCGACGTAAACGGCTTTGGTCACATGGATAGTGGGTATGGCTGTGTTATAGTGGTGAATGACACGCACACTGGCGATTGCGAGGACGATGTCTGGGGGGTTGGCAGGGTCCTTGGGGAGGTTGGGGCGGTTTATGGGTGCGTGAGTGGAGGAGAGATTGGGGGGATTGGGGGTTTGATGGGGAGGGAAGGGATGAGATACTTTACGGCCCAGGAGGAGCCGGGACTCGCTGAAATGTGTGCGGTGCTGGAGTTGATACCGAGGAGAGTTACACAAATTGGTGCCATGGATGTGATTGAAGTAATCAATGACTGTGATTTTTTGAATATGTTTAGCGTGTAGCGTGTCAGACTGTTTTTCTCCCAAAAGAATGGCCGGATACTGATCAGTAGATAGTTGAACCTTTATATTTCGATCTTTCTTTCATGCTACTGCTATATTCTGGATACATACAATCATGCAGTGCCCAACTTACTGGTATAAAGCATCCAATTGTTCTGGACGAAGTTGCGAGGAGTAATGACTTTGATGTGTGGAATGATAGCACGTTCCTTCCTTCCGGATAGTCCAGACGCGACTACAGTCAAGATGCCTAGTACCACTCTATCATTTCGAATATGTACCACATACGCTCTAAACACGATTGGTAATTCCATTGAGTTAGTACCGCGAAGATCGTTCCGTACTACTGTCCCGGTTTATAAAGATGAAATCCCACCTTCTATAATCCCTGAACAACACAAGGTCGCTGCTGATCATACACAGATTGGATCATACATCAGCCATGAGAGCCTTGTGGTACAAGTTTTAAATGATATAACAGACCCCTGGATATGTATGGGATCTGCGCCAACGTCCATGTAGTTGAAACCGAGAGTAAGTGCCTTGACTGAGTTGAGTATCGGGTATCGCGACAAAGAGATTCACTTCCTAGCCATGAGGTTAAATAGCCATATCACAGTGACATTTCAATACAAGAACATCAGGTATAATCAAGAGTTGTCCTGATGTATATAATAAAAGAATCAAAAACCATCCGAGTGCACGTACGTTGAGTTATTAGTGAGCATTATGATGTTACTTCCAGTAACTAGAGCAAGGCAAAACAAAATCTCTCTTCTCCATCAAAATGTCAGAGTGCCACATGTTGACTATCCTAACCTGCTTCCTCCTCATTACTTGTATGTTCCTTGAGCCACCACTCTCATCTTCAATCCGTCTCTGTAGATGCTGACCATGCAGTCACCTCACAAGCCCGCACTGCCACCCCCGTTCTTGCCCTTCCCCTTCGCCCTCTTCCGGTCTTTCGTCTTTCCAGTCTTGGCTTTCGTCAATTTCGCTGGGACAACACCAGCCCGTTCGTAGACAATCTCTACAGCGTTCTTGACATCATCTTCGCGCAGGACAGGGTCTTTGGCCTCGCCCTCCTCCTTGTCCAGACGCATGACGAAGGCTTCACTCAATACTTCGCTCGCAAGACGTGGCTGTCCAAGTGTCATGGACGAGAAGACGGCGAGAGCGGATACGGTCGAAGGGGAAAGCGACGAAGAAGTCAAGTGCGACTTTGTCGCCAGAGCAGCAACGTGTTTGGTGTTCTGTTTGAGGAACGCATCGAGATTAATGTCCCACCGTTCCTCGATGAGGGTCTCGGAATCAGTGGTAGATGCTGGCGTGGTATCCAGCTCCTGCTGGGTGATAGCTGCGAGATCTTCTCGTACCGCACCACACTCACGCGTGATGCGTAGCTTGTTTCGGGTCGACGGTTTTGTCTCTACCAGGCTGAGAATATGGGCGGCCTTTTCGCGGTCGATGAGGTCCTATGTGGTTGAAAAAGCCAGTTTAGTATACAACACCAACCTTGAATACACTTACTCTTCCTCCCTGCCCTTCCTCTCCTGTTCTCCACTTACAAAAACAACAACATGAAAAACGTCAAAACGAAAACTCAAAACAGCAAAACGACGCTATACAAAAAAGGGAATGTGACAGGGGGTTTTCTTACCTGCCAGTCCATTCCATATCCCTCGACATCGATGTCGACATCCTCGCCTTCTTCACCAGCGTACATAGCGTAGCCGTACGCAGCATCCGGCAACATGGTCTCGGTCGCACTCGCAGCAACAAGCACACGCTCGTTATCCTGCAGCGTTTTGCTAGGATCGCTGATCGGCTTCGCGTCGACGGTGTAGAGTGCTGCGAACTTGAGGTCCAGCGCCAGACGCACGCCCTGGAGGACCTGCTCTGGCTTCTGATACGCACCGATGACAAAGTTGTCAAGGGTCTTCGAAGTACTCGGGCAGTGAAGCTGTATGTGACACATAGTTTGTGCGTTACTTCTGTGGTTAAGTGAGAGTGTTTGTGTTTGTGTGTGGGCTGCGTGCGGTTGAGTGCAGAGGCGAGACAAGCGGATAGATGCAGTACTTCTTGAATTTGGTGTGGAGTGAGAAGAAGGTAAAAGAAAGCGTGAGAAAGTAAATACACCCACACGAAGTGTGATTTTTTATCTGTGTGCGCGTGACTCTGGATAGTAAACGAAGTGAGAGATGAAAGTGAAAGACAAGGAAAAGGCGCCCGCAATCAGGCTCCCACCTTCACCTACCTCCCAACAACGCTGACAACAAAAGCCTCGCTAAAGACCAATTCACTTTGAGACCTCAATCTCAAGACCATCCTTGAACTCCGCCTCAAGCAGCTCATCGCCCCCGGCCGTAGTAGGCCTAGCTACATAGCCCGCAATACTAACATCCCAACCCTCATCCTCTGCCGCCGTAAACCAGTTAACCTCTCTCAACGGGCGCCTCTCAACCTCTTTGCCCTGCTCATCCCTCACGATCCAGTAAATCCACAGACTCTTGCCGAGCTCATCCTGCTCTTTGCGTGCTTCAATCGTAGCAGTAGGCTTCGTTCCATTGACAAACTCCGGCATGGGAACTAGGGACCAGTCGGCCCAGATGTCGCAGCCAACAGTCGCGACGAATGGTTTACCAGTGTAGAATTCGATGCCAGTCTTGACCCATTTTGTAGCGTTTTCGGCGACGCCCTCTTTGGTTAGGTGGAGGACGAGGCCTGCTTGATCATATCGGCGGAGTTCGTTAGAGGGTGGGAGAGCGAAGGTGATCTTCGCGCGCTGGAACTGTTTTAGGGGGTAGGTGGGGAGGGTGGAGGGATAGAATGCGGCGTTGAAGACGTTGGTGGAGGGGGGTTTGCGCCAGATGTCTGTGCCTGCTTGGGCAGAGAGGTTGAAGGGTTCAATGGTTTTGATTGTCGTGCTGCCGGACATGGTGGATGTTGCAAGGTGGGTAAATAGAGCAAGGAGCGGTAGTGGTGAGATCATTGTAGTTGGGAGACGTCAAAAGGACCAAGCCTGGGCTTTTATACTTCAAGTTACTACATCCGGACGTGAGGAGGATGGTACACTGGGGTTTTGTCCATTGTGCATGATTGGTAGGAAGTCGGAAGACTTGTTGGTTTACGTACAGCATACACCGTTATACGAACTGATTCTTGATCCTGTTACCGGTTTTCGGGTGTGTCAACCGGAAATCCCGATAGTCTTGTCTACCACACGGTACGGTAATGCAGATCTAAGACGGGACAGCGGGATATCCTCGGGCAATGGAATGCAATCATTGACCACAGTGTACAGTTTTAGTGCGAATCTGGGATCGAAAAGCGGGGTATCCTCGGGCAGAGAGATGCTATCACAGTCTAATGCCAACCGGATATTCTTCACCGTTGCACAGCGCAAATGCCTTGCTGTGCATTTGAGAATGACTCAGGAACTAAATGCCCACGTTTTCACCAAATTTGGGGGTGGCTGAAAGGTGGATTCAGCTGCGCTTACCAAAACGAGCGACCGATTGCGAGATATGCTTGGCATGTCAATAATGGCCGATGATACAACCACCAGGGCAAAGGACTGCGAACTCTATTCTGATCCACCATACATGTGATATCACACGATCTTTTGTTTAGTCTAACAACAGTCATCTCTCGCCGTACCAGAATTTCATATCAGTGTGAAAGCAGAAAGTCACTACTAGTCGACAGTTCAACGCTTGGACACGAGTTATTGGAAGGTGCACCGGCCCATTCATTCGCAGGTATATACAACTCAAACTTGCAAGTTCTTCTATTTCTTCTCTTCTTTCGGTGGCTCTGGCTTGGGTGTTGGCAGTTTGAACTGTAACTTTGTTAGGCACTGGCAGCAACGTTTGGACAGAGGTAAAACTCACGTTCTCTGGCTTGAGATCTTCACCTGGACCAACCTGCTCCCATGCTGATGATCCACCGCGGAAGTTCCTGAACGCCTGCGTCATTTCAAGTGGCTCCACAACAATTCTCTTCTTCTCCTCGTCGTATCGGATCTCAGTGTATCCAGTCATTGGGAAGTCCTTTCGCAGCGGGTGTCCATCAAAACCGTAGTCTGTCATGATTCGCCTCAGATCTGGGTGTCCAACGAAGAAGACACCAAAAAGATCATAGACCTCGCGCTCGTACCAGTTGGCGCCATCGTAGAGATCACACAGACTGGGTACTGGGGTCGCCTCATCGGCATATGTCTTGACTCTGATGCGCGAGTTATGGCGGATACTGAGCATGTTGTACACGACCTCGAATCGCTGGTCCTTGGTGGGGTAATCGACAGCAGTAATATCCGAGATTTGAGTGTATTCGGCCGCAGTGTGGTACTTGAGGAAGGTGAAGGTGGGGATGATACCGGAGGGAGGGATATAGATGGTCAATTCATCTTTCCAGACGGAGAATCTGTATCGCTGTCAAATACTGTTCTTCCCTATCAGGCCGTGCAGCATACTGTTGGACATATTTCGGCAGACATGACATGATGTACTGTCCGTACTTGTGGAGTGCCTCGCCCTTTTCTTTGAGGCTCTCTGTCGGGTTGACAATGGGGGCCTTGAGCCCGCTAACCGTGTCGCGGGGAGCAAACTACAAATTATGTTAGATGAGACCCGATATCTGCTACCATCTGCCGTTCCGTACCCGCATGTTTGGTGTATCGGAAGCGGGTCCCGCAACTTCCTTGGGCCGGAGTGCCGTCGAGGCAAAGGTGCGCATCGCATTGCGGGAGCAGCTCGAGGCGCGGATGGCAGCGCCCAATGGCCGGCCTACAGCTAACCGCATAGCCATTGTTTGCAGAGGTATTGGTGAGGGGCTACGCGATGTGCAGCGGGGAAGGGCGACTTGGGGTGGAGGTATCGACGACGTCGTGAAGTTCGCAGCTCAACCCGCGAGACGCATGCTTATGTAAGTAGCGTGGAGCGGAACCTGGTGTGCCATCACGCAGCTGCAGCCTCTTAACCCCCATCACCTCCCGTGGATCCCTCTTACTGCGACTGCGACAATCCGGCCGGCGTTTATTTGTACTTCAGCGATTTCCTTGCAGGCCTTGTGTGCTCGTCACCCCAGGTCTTATCCCACCCCCGCATTCATACCACGACTGCCCTCGGGCACCACCCTTACGCTCTAAACCACACCTTGCAACACACAGCCACCCTTCACCATGTCTCGGGTACAGCAAGACCAGTTCGTCGATGATGACGAGGAAGAGTGCTGCCCTCTATGTGTCGAGGAGTTCGATCTGTCCGACAGGAACTTCCGACCATGTCCTTGTGGCTACCAAGTGCGCTTCCCTCGCCAAAACTCGGTGAAGCTGTCCCAAGCCGCCATGCTAACACGCGTCTCAGATATGCCAGTTCTGCTACAACAACATCAAGACAACCATGAACGGCCTTTGCCCCGCCTGCCGCCGCCCCTACGATGACTCCACAATCGAGTGGAAGACCATCTCTCCCGAAGAGTGGGTCCCCTGCTCTTCCCCTCTTTGAATACCTTCTGACATTGGGCAGGATGGCACAGCACAAGCAGCAAATTGCGCAAAAGGCCAAGAAGAATGCGCAGATGCGGCAAAAGGAAGCACAAAAGGCCGAAGCCGACTCGCTTAGCCGGAAGCACCTTTCTGGCCTCCGAGTCGTCCAGAAGAACCTCGTATACGTCACAGGTCTTACGCCAACAATACGCGAAGATGAACTACTCAAGACGCTACGTGGTGAGGATTACTTTGGCCAATACGGCAAGATCTTGAAGATTGTCGTGAGCAAAGCCAAGGAGAATGCACAGCATCAACAGTCAGTTGGTGTCTATGTGACGTTTGCTCGCAAGGAAGATGCTGAGAGATGTATCAACGCCGTTGACGGTTCGCAAAACGGCGACAGAGTGCTGAGGTATGCAGCAGCTCCTTCATGCCATGTGTCCTCTAAATAACTGACATGTCACAGAGCACAATTTGGTACTACCAAATACTGTTCAGCCTATCTTCGCGGTGAGACTTGCAACAATCGCAACTGCATGTTCCTGCACGAGCCCGGTGAAGACAATGACAGCTTCACCCGCCAAGACCTTTCCATGATGAACTCGATCCAAACGCAACAGCCATCCCAATCGTCAACGTCACGAGCCGCACCTCCTGCGCACCATGGGCCTCCTGTAGCCGCTGCGACGCCAATGCATCGACAAGATAGCACGGATACGTCAAGTTCGATACATGACGCACCTGGTCTGCCCGCCACTGCGAATTGGGGTAGCAAAGCTCTACTAGAGCGTCGTGCAAGCCGTTCAACAACCGCTTCCAACAACGCTAGCCCTATGGTCACGAATGCGGTACCCGCACAAGCACCGAAGGCACCCAAGCCAGTAGAGGCTCCGAAGAAGAAAGGAAAAGAGAAGGAGAAAGAAAAAGAGAAAGAGAAGGAAAAGGAAAAGGAAAAGGACAAGGACAAGGACAAGGACAAGGAAAAGGAGAAGGAAAAAGAGAAAGAGAAGGACAAGGACAAAGAGAAGGAGAAGGAGAAGGAAAAGTCTCCGCAAGTATCAAAGTCAACAACATCCGAGTCTACTACCGCATCCGCACCCACGGCTACCACACGCCCCTCCAAACCCCGCAATCAGGATTTCCCAGACTTGCTCAAGATCATATGCTCGCCCGACTTCAAGTTTGTGTTCTCTAGTGCAGTCCTTTCTGAGGAAGAGTTGAAGGCTGTGACCGAATTTCCTCAGTTGCTTGATCCAAACGGAGGCGCAAAGCGGCGCGCAATGAAAGAAAAGGAAAAGGAACTTGCTGCGTTGCGGGAGGCAGAGGGTGAAGTGAAAGTAGCTTCCCAGCAGCAAGCGCCGGCCGCTGAACGAGAGGACAATGAGGCTACTGCGGGGGGTAGCTTACAGTTGGGCGGGGAACCCGAAGATGGACCTGACACAAGCACCAACCATCTCGGCCAGCATGCAATCGCACCACCCGGTCAA